ATTAATTATTAATTATATATTAATAAAATCTCTAGGTTTTTAGCTTTATTTTGATATATTTTTTATTAATTTTTATACAGTAGTTTTTGAGTAATGAATAAATAAAAAATTCCAAAATTTTTTGCACCACACTGTGTATCTGTTGTATTTAATATTAAAAAAAAAAATGTATAATTTAAAAAAAAAATTTTTTTTATAATTAAACATTCTAGCTCCCATCACTTGATTTTACTAGTAAATCATTATAATACTTGGTAGAAGTCCTATTATTATATATAATTAATAATTCATCATAATATATTCATTTATTATAATACTCCTGTCTTCCTTATAATTTAAAAAAATATTATTTCTCTTAAAATAAGTTAAAGAAATTTTCAAGACATTTTAAAAAATTTTCTTAACCATATAAAGAACAATTTATAATACAGAATCTTTAATATAATATTTAATACAATAAATAATTGGATATCATAAGAAATTGAAAAAAAAATTAAAATCAATAATATTTATATACATATATATAATTTTATTTAAAGAAGTAATTTATACAATTGATATAAAAATTAAATGGCAAGATAACAAATAAATAAATATAGCTTAAAACATTTTTTTTTATGTATTGTATCGTTTTAAGCTTTTATTACTATATTAAAGTTCTTATTGATTATTGTTTTTTATTCTCGTAAATCAGATGATTTCTTCGAATATTTAGCACATGTGATGAACAATGTATTTCTTTTTGGATAAACTTTGTAATTTTGGAAGCTATCGATCAGTAATTTTTTAAAGCTTATTACAAAAAAAATAGTTTTTTTTTTTAAAATATTGCTTCTATAAAAAGTTAATACCTTTTAAAGTTGGTCACGTGCTTACCGGTATAGATTTCCCGTATCATATAATAAATTTATTAATTAAAATAATAAACTTATTATTTAATTATATTTAAAAGGATTCCAAATTATTGCATTTACATTATAAATATGGTTATGGTTTTTTTTGTCATTGGTTAATTCTCAAAGTACTTGAAAAGCAATTGCTGTATATTATTTTATATACTGTATTTATAGTGATCTAACTAATTGTAAGAAATGATTATTAGCGATTTATGCATTTCCAATTTACACCAATACCCTAGATTCGCAATTTTAAATATATAAGAATACCATGTTTGTTTAGATTCCAGGTCATTAAATTAGGTATAGTAAATTATTCTGATATTGAGATCTTCTTTTCAAATGAGATGATTTACCTAAAAACCGTTTTCGAACCTTTCTTTTTTAGACTAATAAATCATATCAATAATTAAAAAAAATAAAATGAGAACTTACTACAACGGTTTATAGCAGATAATACCATTGTTAGTCCTTTATGATTATTATTAGGACTACATTATTCGATTTATGCATGTGGGTATCGTATATATTCATGCCCTTTGCACGATTTTTGTAGATTTGCCGTGCATCAAATATAGAAAAATCCAACGAGTTCAGAATAACCAATCATCCTTAAATTTAAACCAAGAAATTAGGATGTTCTGCGTCGATCGGAAAGTTAATTTTACAAAAAGATCCGAAAATGGAATCTCCATATCCTTACCTTATTAATTCGTTCCGAAAAAAAAGACGTAAATTAATATTCAAACTTGCTCTTTCCTAACGTAGAAAAACGCGATCCAGGATTTTTCTATATAAGATTTTAGTTAAGGGTGTAAAGAAACTAATATTTCTTCAAATCAAACTCCCATTTAACCGTTCACTTGATCAATTAGCGAAAATGAAGTCTACCATAATTGTCGCCACAGTCTATCTTTTGTTCGTAGTCGTTTGTGCTGTTGCCAAAAAATCAAGTGACTACCTTCCAGTCAAAGATTTATTACCTTTACCACTCGTAATTTTACAAGACGAAAAACATAGTAATAAATACAAGTTGGAAAGTTTATGGCATGGAAATGCATATGATGATGATGGTACGTTGAAATTTCTTAACAGACTATTAAAGAACACAATGCTTATGAAACAAAATTTTATTAGAAAAAGTTAAAGCCGAAGTTAAATGTGGTCGTGGTGTAGTGGTCAAAAATTCTCCTCAGGTAAGATAAATCGTTTATTACGCTCACTTGCTTTATAACCAACTTTAGGATTAATTTTTTTTTTTTTTTGAATAAATTTAGGTCAAAAAATTCGGAGAACGCAAAGCCGTCTTTGAATTAATCGTTCCCCAAAACCAGACCATGGTGCGTTGCAAAAGAAGTTTTAAGATCGACATGACTAGAATAGCTACGTTCTCTTTCATACACGAATCAAAATAATAACAAAGTGCAGGGAACTTTTTAATATATTTGCCTGGTTAGAATAGTAACCTACAAATATATGTTTGTATGCTCGATCGATTCTAGAATAATATAATTCACACCTATTGTTGATAATAAATAATGTGTTTAATATAATAAAGTAGCGAAAAACATTCATACACAGTAAATATTCCATTATAAAGAAACGTATAACTTGTAATTGATAATTGAATAACATGTTTTTATTGTTGAGGATAAAAAAATTTGTTGACGAAATACATTGTACAACGACTTTGATATTTTGCGAGTTAAGTTTAAGTTGCTATTATGAGCTTTGCGTGGTTCTCGAGGGTTAGTTTGATTTCATTCTTAATATGTGTTGATTCTTGATTTTTAGGACATGGATAAAATGATTCTCACGCATCCCGTGTAACGTGACTAGGAATGCTAATAACCTTTTATCGACTTATACAACTCCATAAAATAAAATTTATTTTATGATACCCCAATCAATTTGAGTAAAATCATCAAATGAAGAAAATCATTAAAAGAAAAAAGTATAAAAGTATAAAAAATACAAAAATGAAAAAAAATGTGCAAAATGAGAAATGACTAATCTATCATATTTAATAAATAGAATCAAATAAAATTCTTTGTATAGTACGATGAAAATTTCTTTTTAATAATATACGTATATACTGTATTTACAATAAATAAAAACTATTTACTAATTGTATTATAATTTTATATATGTTTTTTTAAAAAAAAATCAATTTATCAAGTTATAGCCATAGGTTTATTTATATTAAAAATTTTGATTTCAATACAGAATACGATATTAATTTTTTGAAAAGACAAAATTAGCTATATTTTTTTTATCTGAAATCAAAAATCGAATCAAATCAAAAATAATTTTATAATCTCTCTTTTTTTTTAAATAAATAGTTATTTTTGAAAATAAACAAGAATTTTTTCAAATATTATAATTGTACTTCTTATAATTCCATTATATATATATTGCATAAAAATAAGAATTAAAAAACATTTATTATTTTTATTTATTTTTTTTTTGTAGGTAAACATTATTTCTTTATTTGATTTGTATATAGCAAGGTATACATTGTAAAAGAAACATCTCTTATATGTTGGTACAATGAGTTAAATGCTAGCTTGCCTATAGTAACCATACGACTAATATTGAAAAGAAAATTTAAAACAATATATTT